AGGTGGTTGACGGCATCTGAAACAGAAAGTCTATTTAAAAAGGAGCTTATAAGCTGTCAGAAAGAAAATGCTTATCCTCTTTTTTAAATTTGACACTCTGTACACCTCCTACTGAAAAATATTAGTATTAGTAGAAAGGAAAAAAACGCCACATTATCTTCCGAAATGAAGATGAGACTATCATCTAATGTACTGCTTTTACTCTCAGAGGCGGGGCTGCTGCTTTCAGCTTGCACTGCAAGCTCTTTGCAGTGCTATAGAGTCACTTGTTTTAAACCAGGACCTGTCGTGAATTGACTGTACAGAAAGCTGGATTATGATGGGCAGATAAAAGAAGAGAGAGGCCCCTTGAGCTCTTCGGTGGTGTCAGATATAGTTGCTTTTCCTTGATTCTCCGGGAGCAAGTAACTACCTGAAGATTCTGGTGAGGTTTTTGGTGGTGGTGGTAGTTTTAAATGTGTAAGCAAAGTCTGTTTTCGAACTCCATCTCTTAATGGAAACACAGACCGTGAGACCCAAGTGCACCCTACAGGTTTCAAAATAAGATGCAAGCAGACAGGAATCCAAAATGTGCCCCCCCTCCCCTTTTTTTTTTTTTTTTTTTACGATGGCCCATTCATTTCAAAGCCAATCTTCTTATAATTAATTTCGGGGAAGAAAGAACGGGCTACTTCTTTTTGAATGTTTTGACACTGGCAATACCAGCTCTCATACACCTGATAGCAAAGTGAGTTGCATGTTCTACCCAAAAAAAACCAACCAAAAAAAAAGGCGGGGGGAGAGGGGGAGCGCAGCACATTTGTTGAGTGCCGTGTGCCTGTCTGCTGGGTCGCCTTCTGAGCTGAGGGCAGGTGAAGCTGCTGTCGCTGCCATACCTAGAGGCACTGAACGGCCTTTTCCACCGAGGTGAGCGCAGCCCAAGCCTGGACCGCTTCCGCGGGTACTAAGATACAGTCAGTGCGTGCGCTACTCAGCCTGCTAACCCTGAGACTGTCTGACACTCTCGCTCTTAGTTGCAACTACAAGCCACGTCTCTGGTCGATGATCACCACTGTACCTCGGTCCCCCGGCTTCAGTCAGTTACATCAATTCCAGGTTGTTTTTCAGGGGTGAGAAGAGCAGGATGGGGAGAGGATTATGAGTTTCTTGAAATGATCATTGGTAATTGGGAAATTTGCTTTTCATTCATTTTAAATGATTAGCTAAGTATTCTATCATTCACGATTTCATATTAACCAGAGGCGATTCAGCAAAGGCAGAAAACAATACATGTAGATAACACCTGCACGGAGCAGGATTATGCAGCTCAGTGAGTGTCCCTGGATGGCTAGCAGCTTTTACATGCCTGCCTTTGGGCTCTGGAAAGATCTTCCTGAGTTACAAGGAGCTGCCTTCAGCAAGTGCTTCAATAGGTGTCAGCCTCCGTGACGCCGGTTTTGCAGCTGGGAGGCTGTACAGAGCCCAGTGAGTCCCAGGACGTCACTGGAAACCAGCAGCAAGTCTTTACCTCTCAATGTCACTTCACGGCCCTCGCTGACGCCGCCGTTCAGCTGGAGGAATGAGAGACCTCTTTTGGGCGTCCGGTGTCAACAGAGGAGGGGAGAAAAAACCCTCAAACTCAAACCAGCATTTTTTAATGAGTCCTAGAACAATGCCAACTTCTAATGTTATCTACAACTTTAAAGATTACATGTCAGTTTTGTGTTGATTTGCATATAAAACCAGACTGCCATTTTAAAAGTAACACTACTATTACTTTAAAATGACACATGGCTCTGCTCTTTATCTGGGAATCGAGATGTTATGAAACATCAGTCAATGGTCTTGAATACTATGACACATCTAGAGTTTGTATGTCGTTCTCTTCTTTCCTAAGTTGAAAGCCGCTTCCTTCCTAAGCAGTTTGATGAGATAGCTAGTGCCAATCTAGGAGAAGGGCTCACACCTGCATCGCACTGTTGGTAGTCTACCAAGGTCCCTTCTGGTCATTCCCAGGGTCCCAAAGCACAAGGTATACACATTCAGTAAACATATTCTTTTAATTGTTCAGTAGAATTAACAGCCTGTGTGAGCAGTGATGACTGCAATCATATTTAAAGATGCAAAACATCTCTAAAAGTTGTTTTACCTTTTTGTTTTTAATACGCTATTAAGTGTGGAACTAGAAGAGGGGCATAAATAGGACAGTAGTGAAACAGTATGTAACACAAATGATTTGAGAGTTCCTTTGTGGGGAAAGGGCTATGATATTTACCAAAAAGCCAGCTTAATTGGAATTGCAGCCTTGCTCTGTGTGCACGCACACACACACACACACACACGGAAACCTGCAGGACTGTCTTTTGAGATAACAAAGAAGTCCCACCTGCATGTGAAGTTCAGAGCTTTTATTTCTGAATATGAGGTGAGACTAAGAGAAGCATAATGGAGAAGACTCCTTTAGGGTCTTGACATACATTCAAGGGTCAGTAATTCCTAGTTTTATAACTGTTGTAACACTACCCATTCTTCTGGAATCTGAAATAAGTCCCGAACATACCGCTGAATCAATCAGGTGGGCGCTTCAGATGCTCCAAAACAACTCAGAGCCATCGCAAGAAAGCACTGACAGTAGTCCAAGTATTGTGACAGTCTTTCACAAAATTGTCACCCACACATACAGAAACTAGAAACTCTTTTTCCTCCCTTACAGTTTTTTAATGGATTTTATCATAAGAAATTGTATCATCATTCTTAGTATAATTATTGAAAACAAGTGATAACAGTTTGTGGCAAAGCCAGTTTATTAGGTTTCTGGGATTGTGTCTTACCCTCCCCCCCAACACATACAAAATAACCCAACTTTTACAATTTAGTAAAGTGAAAATACATATACAAAGTATTCAGTACTTTTGACATCAATTTTGTGGGCAGGACATTACCACTGAAAGCCAGGAAGCATACTGAATCCTGCGTTAATGACCACATTACCTTTAAAACATGCTTTGTGCTGAAGACAAAATTACATACTTAAACATTGTTTCCACACAAGTTTAACGATACGAGGGCTCTTATTTACAGGTTGTGAATAACTCAAATAAAGCTTAACAGATTTACAGATGTTTGATACCAAATTTAATAGTACCAGTGTAGCTACATAATTTCCTTACCTCAACCCCCAACCTGACTGACTGACTTTGGAATTCTTCATTCTGGTTTTTTAATTTAATTAAAAAAAAAAAAAACAAACAAATGTTTGCTGACATACGTATCGTATGTCATAGTTAAGATGGATCCTTTTGAGAAAAAGGATTAAGGACATGAGTGAAAAACAAATTGTCCATGAGGACTGTAAACCATATTTATTTACAATAGTATACACATAAATTTAAGATCAATCCTTTTCTTAAAAAAATCATTAAGGACACTAGTGTTAAAAAGCTGATTGTTTCTGAAAGGACTGTAAACCAAACTCTAGTCATGTAAGGTTCAGAGTGAATACAAAAGTTCCCTTTTACAAATGTTTCCTAAACGAAATTACTGTCAGCTGTAGCAGCTTTATACAGGAAAAAAACACTACCTTTTTGTTTAGATTCTTTTTAAACATCTTAATCATATTAGACCAAATTGAATGCTCTTTCTAAATCTAGAAAAAAGTTAATGCATTTTTCTTTTGTCAGTATAACTTGCAACAGAATTACATCTTATTAATTGTAATAGTTTAAATAGTATTAGTTACCTTGTTTCAATAATTTGTTTCTAATGTGATCACTAGCGTGGCAGCTTCTGAACTGGCCCTTCCGTTTAGTTTCCAGTCAGCATCACACACCGCACATTGCAAATCAAAAATCTTCATTTTCACTTCAATTTCTTTAAAAACGAAGTCACAAAACATTGTTTGACATGGCATACGAATGAAGCCATAGATTGCATTCTAAAGTCACAAAACATTGTTTGACATGGCATATGAATGAAGTCATAGATTGCATTCTATGGCTTACATTTCGCTTCATGTAATTATGTCCAACCTAGCACCATTTTCATTATGAAACTTGACCTTCAGATAGAACTGAAATAACATGGTTGCAGTTATGAGAACACAGAAGAAGATGGTTCTAGAGGAGTAATTTTCCTCATCTGACTCACCACTAACTCACATTAGTAATGCCAAGGATGGCCAACATACAGCCATGACATAACACAAGCAGGTTTTAGCTCAAAAATCTGTAACAGATCGTGTATTTCGCAGATTTTTCTCCATATTTCATGATCTAATTTATTCTGTATTCAGAAGTATTTTAAGGAAGTCCCATATTCCTAACATTTTGTCCTAAGCTTTTCCATCCCTAAAATGTGTTACGAAGTTGGTTGTAAAAAGCTTTTTCAAGATATTTGAAAAGTATTCATCATCACTAAAATCCTCTGAAACCCCTGTCTTTGAAAACCAGTATGCTTTTGCCAACTTCACTCAATCTTTTATTTACTTTAGTGTTTTTACTTACCCTGGGACACTCAACTCAAATACAGCATCTTTAGAAATAAGTCCTCATTTAAGTTTTAGCAAGGTCAGAGAAGTTATGGACAGTTATAGTCCCAAATTTACCCCAAATCCTGTGCTACAGTACCTTCCATAAGAAGGAATGCATAGTTTAGTTTTACATGCTAATTATGAAAAATTAATGAAGTTTTAAGTACCAAATAATTGTCTAGAGGTAGGGACAAGTTTGTCAATTCTCTTACCATTGCAATGAAGAAACAGACAAATCTTACAGTGGAATGACAGGCCAAAAGCTAGCAGTTTGCACTTACACTGAAGCCCAAACTTTATCTGACACTCCCGGGTTTTGTTCTTAAAATAAAAAGGTACTTGCTTAGCAATTTGCTAGCATTCACTCAATATTCCTTCATATACCAAAAATCTCCCCCGACTTGTTGACCCAAAAATCAAGCTATCTGGCTGTCACAAAACATTTTTTCTCCTACATTATTCCAATGCAAGTAGCAACCAAAAATGTTAGTAGACTGGCTTACTATTTATAACCTTACCACAAGTGACGAAAACGATCTCAGGCAGCAAGAGCTCAAGTAGAATTGCTTTGTCAAAACTTCACTTGAAAGTTTACTTTCCCGTATATTTATAGTGAAACTTCAGCAATTCAGAAAGTACAATTACAAAGTGCAAGAACATGAGATGGGCACATCTACACCAGAAAAAAAACCCAACATATTAAAGTGCCAAAGAGATTCACTATAATTGCAACCAAAACCTGGAACTTTGCCAAGATCATAATTTTGAAGCATTTGCAAACATGACAAGGTGGTAGCTGATAATAGTATGATTTAACACCAGCAGGTCATGGCAGGTTTTGGTTCAGGCTTTATATGTATTGCATCGCGATCTGGGGGTTGACTAAGCATTAATGGCTTGTGACTTTTAAGCTTGTGAGCCAGTGTCATAAATATGGCCTCCACATGGTCATTGTCATTGGGGTTTTTGGCAGAGGTTTCAAATAATGGCATACTGTGAGTATCAGCAAACTTCTGTGCCAAGTCCGTAGGTACCTGAATAGCACTCCTCAGGTCACATTTATTTCCAACAAGAATCCGTGGTATATCATTGGCAAGAAGGTGTTGTTTGCATTCCTCTATCCATGACGGCAGACTGTGAAAACTGGCAATGTTTGTCATATCATATACAAACACAACAGCATGTACATTCCTGTAATAGTGCTGCACCATGCTCTTTCTGAAACGCTCCTGGCCTGCCGTATCCCATAGCTGGATCTGAAAAGGAAAGACAATGAGAGAAAAAAATATTTTATTACTTGTGTTGGAAAATAATACAAATTACCTGTAGCTAGGGAAGTCACACAATCATACAAATCCACTCTTCTGAATTAATCATACTGAAAAGTTTGTGCTGAAGAAAACTGTTGCTTTTACATAATTTCAGAAACTTTTACTTTCAAAGCTGCTCATAATTGAAGCCAGGAAGAAATGATGATGCAACTTGATCATAAATACGGATTTCTGAAAGTCTATTGGAGCATGTATTTTGTAAGATTTTTACAAAAACAAATCCTGAAGTCTTGGCAATAGCACTTTTATTTGAAAAAACAACATGTATTTCACAGCACAACTCTCAGCTGACATGATTTTTTTTATTGCCAAAAATAACGTCATCTTCCCCAAAGTTTTGTTCTTAGCATGAAGTTAAATGCTAAGAACAATATATAAAAGTAGGAAGAAATCAAACCATGAATGAATAACACCACCACCAACAAAACCCGGACAAAGTAATCTTTCTCTGCTGTGTATCTATCGGAATCAAACCCTCCTGTGATGAACCCCTAACTTAAGCTTATTTAATGCTTAAGCTAGGACCATACTGTGGTTTGTAGTATCAAAGCATGCATAAAAGGAAAAAAAAAACAAAACCAAAACTCAAACAAACAAAAAACCCACAAACATAAACACATAAACCTCCTGTTAGCTTAACATGCTACTGTTGTTTCCAGGTATGCATCATTCTATCCGAAATAGACTGAACATACTTGTTTGAAGCCTAGTCAGTATAATGGACAAAAAAACATTCAGAAGAACTGAAATGCTTTCAAACTTCTCGAGCCCAGATTAAAACAAAACAAAACAAGCCTCGAAGCACAAGCAGATGTAAACAACAACTAATAAAATTTTTAAATGCATCAATCATCCTGGTATAACGGAAGCTTGGAGTCCTCAGATGCGTAGAGTATGCTACAGAATTGTGCACTTACTGGACACAGTCATATTTTAACAAACTTGCTCTCCAGGAGACATGGGACTGCCACATACAGCAGTCAGAGCCAGTTCACCTAAAACTCTACATTACTCTACTGTACACCGCAAGAAATAAACTAGCGTGCGGCTCTATCACACACACCTTAGTGATGGGTTAACACTGAAAGACAACATTCAGTTTCTTGGGTCAAAGCTGAGTCCTAGCTTCCTGTCTGTCCTGCACAGCTGATCCCTGATGGCTGAGGCAGTTTGATTAGTACTGTAAACGATGAAGGTAAATTTAAAATTCAATCCGTTCCCACGAAAGGTACAGCCAATATCTTCCCTTGATTAAATTACCCATTACCATAGTTCTGCATTCCTTTGATCCAAATGTTTCAGTAAAACTTCTTTAGAAATTGCAAGTGTCTTGAAAGCTGCCTTGTTTACCATTTTTACCAGTGACTTTGATATGAAAAAAAGGAAACCCAGGTGCCAGGGAAATTTGCTGATGGCAAGAAGCTAAGATGCATTGCTGATAGAGAGGAGGATTACAGTATCACATAAATTTTTTCTTGAAAGCTGGAACAGTAGAAATAGGGTGAAACTGAATAGAAGCAGATGCAAAGTCTTGATAACAGTGACTAATAATAAAGACTTTTCCTATAAGTGCAGGATTCATCAGTTTGGAAATCATTAAAACGGATGATGATCCAGATACACGAGTCAATCACAGGACGTTATGAATCACTAGTGTGATAGGGTGAAGGAAAAAGAGCAAGTCATGTTTCAGGATGGTGTGACTTTTTCTGCAGTATTATGTTCAACCCTGGTCACCATCCTTGAGAAAAACTCAGATTGGAGCAGGTAGAAATGGCAATTACTGGTTTCAGCAGGGGAACTGAGAATTTACATGAGAACACCAGAACAGCTTGGCTCCTGTAGTCTAGTCCAGTTACCTGCAGCTTCTGATCCACAGACTTATAAAGATCCATGTGCTGCTTCAAAAGGGTCATTAAGATTATTAAGAAAAGCAAGGCAAGTCGCTCTAGCCTCTGATCGCAGAAAGTGGTAGTCAGTTGCAATCCATCTCATTTTAGAGCAAATACCTGCTTTTTGCCAATGGTATTACACTCTAAACACAATTGACTGTACCTCCACGGTCTGTTAAGGGAGTCCAGACAATCAGATTAAACGTAGGCACCTAAGTTTGGGTAAGATTCATTCACCTACCCAGACGAGAGATACTTCTAGTTCTATGCACTTATAAAACATTATAAAGTCAGAAGACTCATGGAAAATTTTCATTAATTTGGAATTTGACAAATTAAAGAGAGAAGAAAGAAGCACAGACTGAAGTAATCCTTATGTTCAGACTACATAATGTTAAGGAATCACTACAGATCATCTTGGAAAATGCTATATCAAATTAATTTAAGAGGGAGCTCATTTTCACAGGCAGCTGTGAGCTTACACTTCTCTCCCCACCTCATTCAGAGCAGAAATCAGTCGTGCTTCAGTCAAGCACAGATCCGCAAGTGTATTGCCAGCCTTGGGTACAGAAGGGGAAATTAAATTAAAGGTTTACATACCTTGCAAGTTAAGCTTAAACTACAGTTCCTCCTAAATTTTATTTACATGCAGCTTTCAAGCTTGAAAGGTATTATCTCAAATTAAACATGTTAATACGTGCTCTCCTGAAAAACAACACTGAAAATGTTCACGTTAATAAATGTGCATTGGTGAATTAACATTAAGATTACTGTGTCATTATTAGTTTAATACCATCCATCTTCAAGGGAGCACATTTTTTATAATAGCCCTTTAAAATGTGTGATTTGAAAATTTGGTTTAACAGCATAATTCAGCTAATAAAACTGTGGACAGAATCACTTTGTCACAGTCCCTAGGAAAGACAAATGGTACTTAAATATATTGACTCAGCTATCACCTCCCACCTTCTGACTCCTTTTTGCGGATCTAGAAAGGCTGTTTTCTAAACAAGGACTCCCTTAGCATGCATGGTTTATAACACGCTGGTAAAAACATAACTGGCCTTTAATAAAGATAAAATGGTAACCCATGTCTCCTTTACGAGATGTGGGGAAAAAAACTTGAAGAGCTCAAAGGTCTAGAACATGATGTTTGAACTTTCTTCTTTGAATTTCATTTGCATCCTTTGCTCTTTTAATGTAGGTCAGTAAAGAATGACATCATCGTTTTCTTCGATTTTCAATGCTTAGATCAATTTAGGAAGAGGAAAATTTAGAATGCAAAAAATTCACTTGTTGAAAATTTTAATTTATTCATCACATCTAGGCATCGGTGTTTCATACGAAGCTGTTAGCCTCCTGTACAAGCTACAAAGGAATACACTTGTCCCTGTGTCTTGGAATTCTACACAATTTCTGTGCGGGAGACCCCCGGCAAGAAGAACTGTGCTTGTGTTTCTGCCAGTGACACAGCATTTTTCCAGCTGTGAGGGAAACGCTCAGTACTGTAGCAGCACAAGAATGACCATCCAGCTGGCTGGGGGAAGGGGGAAGAGAGGCAGAGAAGAAGGGGGAAGAGAGGCAGAGAAGAAGGGGGAAGAGAGGCAGAGAAGACACTACTTTATAATCTCCTTCAACACAAGATGAAAAATTCCTCTGCTCAGCAAGCCCTTCAGGGCACACCAAGAACAGCAGTAATTCAGTTCATCTGAGCTTCTCTCTTTCCTGCTTCAACAGGCATTGCTGGAGCTCACTGTTACAAGAAAGAAAGGTGAAGATGAGTGAGAGGAGGTGGCAAAAACCAAAAATTGGTGCACACTTGACGACACACAGCATCCCCCTAAAAGCTAGAGTCCTGGCCATAACGATAAAGTTTATTCCTTTTAAAGCTGAAACAGAACTTCGCGGAAAACGACATGTCTCAGAAAAAGCCTTCTTCAGTTCTCCACCTCCCTCAACCAGAACTGGTATATTCAACAGGTAATATTCTCAAGAACGCAGCAAAACAACCTACCACAACATATATAACAAAACGGCTATGTGAAGCATCTCAGAACTGTGGATTAGGCTATATTCTTCTTCACTTCTCTCCAACAAAGGCCGGGCATAATACAGAGGTGGTGAAAATGCCAGTCACTAAGATGGTGCTGACAAGAAGATATCCCTCAGGAGGGTCTGTCCTCCGTCATGGACAGCAACAGACCAGGGAGTACAGAATCTCAGCTATCAGCCAAAGAAGTGCTATTCCGTGGTTTTATAAAGAAAAAGAGTAACAGAGACTCTTACTCATTTTTCTTTTTTAGTTAAAAAGAAGGATATGAGGTGAAAAAAAAACACAAGAGAAGGAAAGCAAATGGACTTATATGCCCTCTGCAATTTCTTTAACCAGTAAGTAAGCAAGGAAAAACTATAGCTTTCAGCTACATGACTGTAAGCTGTAATTACAAAGCCTGGTGATAATAAACGCAAAAGTACAATTCCAAGACTACTATTACTCCCTTTTTCTACACATTATTAAACTTTGCTCATAGAAACAAACTGTAATACAGAAGTAGAAGGGGATTCTGTTTGAAACCATGTTAATCCTAGTAAACAAACTCCGTTTGTAAGCAGTTAGTAGTCTAACCTGCAAATGACTGTTAGGATCACCACTAGCATTTATGTATCTACCGGGCAGACTAGGTATATTTCATATACTTTTAAAATTTGTTTTACAGTGCGAAGGAGGCAAAAGAGCATTTTTTCCTCCCATCCAATTTTTCACTAAATTTAGTTTTGTAAGACTAAGCTTTAGCTAAACCTATAGAGTAATAACCAATGGTCAAATGTGAGCTAGGTATCCAGCCTGTCACTGTCCAGTTCTGTAACACATTCGCTTAAACATGCAGCAATCTTAACAGAATCCTAAAAAAAAAATTAAAAGTTGTGATACATTGCTATCACTGATGCAGCAGTTCACTCAATTTCTTAACGAGACATTTTTAAAGCAGAATGCTCATAACAGTGGCATCTGCATAGCTTTGTGGACTTGAAGGTTAAGCCAACTGTGATCCTTGATAAACACAGAAGCAGAATTTCTGGGAGGCAACAAGCTGCTGACACCAGGCACAGCCAACACTAAAATACTGGTAAGTAAGAGGTCTACCTAGAAGTCCATTTTAAGGAGAAATTCTTGATTAACACCTGCCAAAAGCCGCACAAAGGTTTGGCCTATGGCAGGAATTTTTCATCACTGTAGAAACCTATGTAGTAATTACATTTTCAACAGGAGCAAGGCAAAGGAGTTGTAAACAAAGTTGCAGAGCGGATACAGCCGAGGCTACCGGCTATGCGACACAACTGCATTGAACGTCTGGGCTATGGAAGTGTGACACAAGAGCCTACGAACCCTACCGTGCAGCACCACACCTGCGAGCGGCATGGTGGCAGGGAAGGCTGGGATGTCCAGTCCTCACGCCAACTGCGCCCGCGGCCCGGGCCTCAGGAGGTAAGCCGTTCAGGCAGAGGCTCACCGGCCCCGGCCTGTCATCCGTCAGCACCCGCATCTTCCCCTCCTCCCGCCTTTCCCGGTCTCCCAGCTGCTGCCTAGCGATGCTGGAGCCCTGTACCAGGCCCGGGCTGCTCCCTCCTGTCAGCAGCTGGGTCGGGGCCCGGCGGGTGCACCCCCCGCCCCCGCCG